ATTCATTATAATATAAGATCGCATCTTTAAATAAGTTCTTGAGTTTGAATATTATTTTCTCTATTCTCATCTCAATCTTTGCGCTGTAGTAAAATCAGTTGTAAAACGGAATTACATGACATCAAGTTTTCATCAATCACGCACACATAGACACATAAAATACATACGTTCGTATTCGTTTGATGGAAATTGAATTCTTTCACTGTATCTCGTAAAAAATATTCGCGAGGTGGGGTCGAAAATTTCGCAAGCACGGATCTCTCTTACGATTGTTACGTTAAATTCGCAACCCTTTCCTGTCTTACTACGTTGTTCGATTTATCCGCATCCCTTATTTGCCGAGCATTTGAAATTATCCTTCTCGTATACTCGGCCAACGTGAAGGCATGCACGACAAGGGCTGATTTTTCACGTGACGACGTGACGCGAATTCGTTAAAATTTCATCGAATTAACGGAATAGAATCGTATTCATACTAAGGGGATATCGATTGGTCCAAGACACGACCCTTTCCTGCGCGCTGTCTGGTTATTAATTATTCATATCTCGACTCCTCTCTCCACGACTCTCGACCTTTCGTTTACAATTCGAGCTGTTTATGCTTGCGCGAATACATCTCGGTTAATTACAGAAGAGGGAGAGGAACAATTCGAGTTGCCAGTCCGAGTTGCTCAATGCTGCAGAAGCCATGTACGTGCCAAATCGATATATATATATATATATACCCGGGGCTTTAATTATTAGCCAAGTCGAGATTTCTATGATTTCCGTGAAAGAGAGAGAGAGAGGGAGAATTGTTCTTCTTCCGGTATAATAATGAGATAAACTGATTTCGTGTCGCAATTTCGGTTCCAACGTCGCGACGTATAATTAACACCCAGTGTTTGAGATTTTTATAGCTCCAATTTCATAAAAGCCCACCCTGGAAGCTACGAATTAGCGAAAAACGATTTTATCGCCCGCGAGCTCGACTCGGGGAGCTTGACCTTCTTCGCTTCTTGTGACTTCGTCGTCGTTCTTATTGCTTTATCCTTTTGTCTTTTATTTGCTACGTCGTACACGTCGCGCAGTCATTAAAGTCGTAAAGTAGCTTCGTGCTCCGCCAGCGTTTTAACGTTACGGCAATTTCCAGAGATGATTATGTCATATTCGCGTTCCAGTTACATTCCGATTGACTGCGAACCCAAAACATCAAAGACGCCGCTCGTGTTCCGCGCCGCTTACGCGAGATTGTATTTATATATATGTATATTTTTTCCTCTCATATATATTTCTCGTACGCGTATCCTGACGTAAAATTATTTCTCTCTTGAATGCCATTAATGGAATTTATGCTCCTGCATATATCACGCTTGTCCGCTCCTATCTCTCTCTTTCTCTCTCTCTCTCTCGAGCGTGATTTTTATGCGATACGGATAATGGGTGGCTACATTTATACAGCGTTAAATGCAACATTAAACGCAGTATTAAGCGAGATAATACCACATGCCGACGTCACGTAAGACGCTGGCGTTGTAATAACATGTTACGGCACGTATCTCATTTACTTGGACGTTACGATAGCCTATGCAGGTAGGCCTCGCGTTTCCTCGAAGGCTTTTAAGCAAATATATTCGGAGGGTTCGCTGAAGCAGAGCGTGCGCATTAACGATGATTAGTGGCCAATATCCAGCCGTGTTCTGAATTTCAGCGAGCCACGGGGGGCATTATGCCTCCCCCGGGGTCCGCTACCATAGTTCCATCCCGCGGAGACGGTGATGCGATGATGGTTTTTTAAATATCCATTAGATACCATTTATTCATTAATCTCGCGGCTATTTTTGCAACGTAAAATGTGATTTCACTATTGATTTCGAGCGAGACGATTTCGACAGCGCTAAATAATTCGAAGCCGCATATTTTCATCTCGGATTTAGAGCGGATTTTTAAAATACGTCAGAAAGATTCAGTCAAAAATGCGGAATTAGATCTGTCAAAACGATTTTGAAGCCCGGGCTTTTCAGTAACGTTTTACATCACGCATTGATGTAGTACAAATTTTCCGCCGCATTTCATGAAGTTACTTTCTCGAACTGTGACAGCTTAATTGAAAGAAAAAGAGAGTAGAAAAACAGAGGAACTAGTTTCGAATGTAAAGATAAGCGCTTACATTTTTCAAAGGGATGTGAAATGCATAACAAAGTATTTAACGAGTTTAGTTAATCATGAAAAATATATTTTACAAATGGCAATTTGTTTGATTTAATTATCGTTTTTTTTTCTTTTTTTATAATATTTCCTCAGTTCCAGTTAAATGAGATAATGTAACAAATTTACAATTAAATCCCATAAATATGGATTAGTTCTTCAAATATTTATCATTCTAGGAAATGCGTTGAAAACATACTGAAACTAGTTTGGTGCATATCGCAATGTAAAGAACATGTTACAGCTCAGTGATCCATATTCAATTTCGCTCTAGTTGCAAATAAGATACATGAATCCGGAATTATTTTAATGGATTTAAAATTACGCATTATTATGCATTTTAAATTATTTAAAATTAATAAGTTCGTGCACGTGAATGATAAACAGATGACGACGCATAGCTAACGAATGCAGGAAGGGTCGAGAGATGAAATCAGAAGCGAAACATTTTGACAGATGGAGGAAAAGCAGTAAGAAGTATTCTAGAGATTATGACAAAAAGTGGCGTCTGAGCATCTTTAAGAGACATTGAAATTATTTATTTTAATTTAACTGGAAATTAAAATACTGATTAACCATTGCCCAAGTCCATTCGGACCCACCTCTGCTGAATGTCAACCGTCAAAGCATCATTCGGTCTTTGTTTCCTCGACATTTCAGGCAATCCTGGGGAGAAGAGGGAATGGGATAAAACAAACGACAATTGACGCTTTGACGGTTGACATTCAACATAGATGGGTCCGAATGGACCCGATATCCGTCGAGCAAAGGTTAATTTAGCTCTGTATACAGTCTGTATATATCGTGCCTCGCAACAGAGAGCGCGTATCTTCGAGTACTTTAAACCTAATATTATTATAAACAATTAAAGAATGAAATTCTCTTTTCCTTCTTTCCTCTTTAATTAAGTAATTTAAATTTTAAGCTTCATAGGGGCTTTCTCTTTTCGCGATCCTTCTCGAGTAACACCGTCATTTGGCTCGCCAATCCAGAATAGGCCTTTAAAAACGAATTCGTGCAAGGATCGTACCTCTTATAGACACAATTGTGTCTAGGTTAGACAAATGTTTGTAGGAGGATATAAGCGTGCGAGCGATTTACACGCGAGAAATTATCGCGACAAGCTACTTGACAAGAATGAGTGTACGATGTTACAGGATGTACATATGATACGCGCGGTACGCATGTGTGTAGGGTACGTAGGGATAAGATAGGATACGCTGAATCATTGTATATCTAAGAATTTCGCATTTCTTTTTTGTCGCAAAAACGGGTTGTCTATAATTTGATACTATATCGTTATCGGTCGCTTCAATTCACGCGTGACTTCGCTTCGCCTGCTCTTAATTAAACTGATACTCGCACTTCCGCTTTCCGCATCAAGTAACAAATTTGCTCTACATGTTCTGCTCCCCCCTCCCTTTTGTGTTTAATTTCAATTTTATTTTAATTATTTTAAAATTTGTTTTTAATTTTAATTTTGATTGTAGAAACATTGTTTGCAGTAAATCGTGGGGAAGTTTCGACGAAACTTTTGTGCATCAAAATTCCGATATGCAAAAAAGCTTGCAAAAAGATCTCTTTATATATAAAAATTGTTTATTTAAATGTTTATTGATTCGTTAAAATTTTATTTCATAAAAATGGCAACTCGTTTTTCGAGAAGGAAGCGCATTGCGGTTGATGTTTCTGTCGGATAAACTAGGGAGATTACAAAAACACTGAACTTTGATTACATTTAATTTGGGCCAGTGGTTGCGAATGTACTGTGCGCAGACAAACTTTGTTGTTTTCGCAGGAGAGAAACAGCGTTTTGCACGACGCAAGTTTAACGACGCTAAAAAGTGTTTACGTCACTAGTACAAGTAAACAAAATAAAAAAATAACTACTACACTTTGTTATAAATATAAAGGTATCATGATCTCGGCCGCTACGGATTATCATATGCATAGCGTTACTTCTTTTTTCTTTCCTTCTGTTTCTTTTCGCTCTGTATTATGTTGACCGTAATGCATTCGGAAAAAAAAGAAAGTAAAAAAAAAATACCATAATTCGCTATCCTTGTCGTACGGAAAGAACTGCTCGTTCAATTAACTTTTTCATTCGTCCGCTCTCCCTATCCTCCCCTCGATCTCGTCGGTCTTTCCCATACATGAGTATACATATATTCCCAAGAGCGTGGACCGGCCTGTCGAGTTTCGTTGTGTTTCAATATCTCGTACAGCGCATTGGAATCTCTTTCGAATTATAGCACATTGACGTTTCTCAAATCTATAATAATATTCTTCCATCATTGATTTGATGAAGATAGAATTTGATGAAGTACGTCCTTAAATAAGAAAGGCAATCATTTTTTCGCCTTTTTGTCGAGTAAATATAAAATAAGATAAAGTAGAAAAAATCTACAGATGTATAACAAGTTGAATTAAACTTTTCAAATGAGATGAAGAACCAATATATTTTAATATTATCTAAAAAATACTGTACACTCTGGAAAAAAAATTATTTTCACAATCTTTTATTATTAAACGTAGCAATTTCTATCGTAAAAAAAATCCTATTAAATTAAATTGTTTTCAATAACGTTCCAAGTATTTAAGTTGTCCCTAAATTTTTTGCATGATACACTTGGCATAAAGTTTATAATAAATAGATTTGTATTTAACTGAAATAAAAGGAGAATTATAACTTGATATTGCGAAAGTTGGAGATATTTAAAAGCTCGTGTACTTAGTATTTTCTTAAATTTAAGATAAATATTCTTCCGTTTATTGAACTTACCTATTCTTACGCGCGTTCCTTCCAAAAATATCCGACGTATCTCATATATTAAAAAGATATTTGTCAGGATTATATTTTGGGGTTTGCACACATATGCATATGTTACATGACACTTTTACACGATCAATGATATTGTCTTAATGATAATTATAACGGTTTCTCCTTTCCTTGATCCACATAATTTACCACTATCGACCTCACTTTAGCAACACTTATCTTTTTTGTTTGATAAACGGTAGACCCACACACACATATGTATCGGTGCGGTGGTACGTGCTCTTCGCCCGAAATTTACATAGTGCGCACGATGCGCGTAATCAGTGGCTAATCGGGGGAGAATGCCCATTCGTGGAACGGCGTGTTATCGGCGCGTGCGACGCAGATATAACCGATCGCTAGTTTTCGCGCTCGGTTATAGCGCCTGAGACGCCGGTCCCAGGGGCACGAGAAGGAGAGACACTCGGCTCGCATTTTTCCCTGATCACGCGAGCGCGCGTTCGCGGATCCAATCGATCCATCCTAATCTCGCAGATTGAACATTGAACATCGTCCGTGACGATGATGATTGCCTCTGTGGTTTTCATCTCCCTCGCGATCACTTTAAGCGATGCGGCCTCAATCGGGTATGGCGCCGATGACACCTCCGGGCCCGTGGATCTCTGTGACAGGTGAGTGAAAGTACAATGCAAGAACCAGCCAACGCGCAATCGTTTCTCTTTCTCATTCCGTTCTATAATCGATGATCAAGATTACGATCGAATCGTTGTTTCTTTGCAATCTTGTTATCTTTTCCGCGTTTTCAAAAAAATTATCTCAAGCTTTTATCTCTTTTAATATAGTTTTTATATAAAATATGTACAAAACGCGTATCAAAATTCTAGAATTTTTTTTTTTTCGGTAATCTTTGATAAAAAAAAAATTTTTATCTTCTTATTATCTAAATTATTTCTTGAGCTACTCTAAAACCATCTTTTTGAATGTCAAAACAAATTTACAACGAGCAAATTAATTTTGATGCAGTCACTCGCTAACGGAATCACTCGAGTTATTTTAGCGATCCTTCGTTGGTCGCCTCATTGACAGTAGGTTAAACTCTCGCTATTGTCTCGAAGAGATGCATTTGTACTTCTTGTAAGAATATCACATAGTGAAGGGAAGACAACTTCTTGATCTTTATACACTTGCCTCTCTTTTTCGCTCTATGTATTTTTCGCTACTTTTGGATCAAATCGATTACTTTCGTTACTTTTCATTTTAGAGTTTAATAAAACAAAAATAATCAAAGACTAATTATATTACATTGGTTAGCGTTCGCCAGTTATGGAATAAGTTAGTTAAACCAAGTTTCCCAAGCCTGTTTTAGGCTATTACTGAGGAAAGCAGAAGTTATAGATCCTATTATTCGATTAGTCTTGCTTGATTACACGATAATGTGAGATTAATTAAGCACATCGACAATATTGCATATTTGTTTTTTTACATTAAAGATGGGCTGTCAGATAGAGCAGTAGCAATATTAGTTATTATTGTGATACATATATGTATTAATGCAGCTTATTTTACACCCCCTCCCCTCCCCATAGAAGGAAATTCACTTTAACTCTCTACTCTTTTCCTACTTAACAATCATGCGCATACTATTATAAAATCGTTGTTGCATGTCGAATAAAATCGTGCTAATCATCGAGTCATTCCGGAAACGTAGCGGGCGATAACAGCTTATCTGTTCAGAACTCGATAACCATTCACTTTAACGTACATCGTCATCAACTTTGTCAATTTTAGTAATAACAGCTAAAATGCATCACTAGAATTGTGAGTGACAGTTCGAGTGAATTTCACCGCGTATCGAACGGCTTATCTTACGAGACTTATCGATGAGCAAGAACAACGACAAGTCTCTCGTTTTATTAACGACGTAATATAATAATCGCAATTATAATTTAATAACTTTTTCTCGGATTGTATCAATGTAATTATAATAGAGAATATATTAAAAATAAACGATGGTCTTCAGGAACGTGTTTTATAAATATACACAATCTCTAAATTTCCGTGCACTCGGAGAAACAAAAGTCACTCGACGAGATCGGTGTTTTATACATGCGTATAAAAATTCGATGAAAAAAAAAAAAAAAAAAAATGGAGTGTCAGCAAGGTCAAGTGCACACGCGGAACTTCCTGAATTTTTCATGGAAAGTTTCATCCGCGTCCTCGTGACCGTAATTTCGTCCTCGCTCGTCCATTCGAGGATGAGGGAAACATGAAGTGTCCGTTAATAGCGTTTTATTTTCCTCGACGGAGGAAACGTTTCGTTTTACGAAAAGTATCTCTTTAGAGTTTCCGGCCCTCGATCTTCCTCGTATCCGTGTTCTCTCGCGATTCCTCGTCTCCTTTAATCCATCAAAATCCCATTATGGGTTACCAGCCACGGACAGGAAACGCCCTCGTTCGATTCATCGGACAGCTCTGAACGAATGATAGGGTTAAGATGTATCGACAAGCTTCACTTACTCATACGAATCACTTGAAATGAAAGACAAGCGGGCGATATTAACAGCGTTCTCAACAAAAACAGGCTACGTTCGTGACGTAAAAAGTAGAGTATCTCTCTATTTTCTTTGGACGATCATGTCGGATAAATTAAGAATAAACTGCATCAGTGGATAAATCGATTAAGGAATATTGTAAACTTTTTTAATTACATGACACTTGCAAAGTATCTCTAAAGAAATTATATAAGTAAATTGCATGCTGTTTTTATCCCTTGTAATAATCTGAGAACAGCGAAGAAATGGCGGATCGATGTTCTTTATTTATTATTTCTTTTATGTTTATATAAAGATATATTTGAATATATTTTCATACAAATCTATGTAAAAGATGTACGTGATTATTTTGAGTAAACTATATACTATTTCTACCATCCAAAAGATTATCCTATTTTTCTCTTTAGAAAGCACTTTAGGAAAATGTTTTTGACGAGAAAAGCGTCTGCTTTACGTTTATGTAAGAAGCATTCAATACCATGTCAAATCTTCATTGCTCAAACATCGAATATAAAGAGAGCTCTTCGGATGTCAAAAGCTGTCGCGAGATTGAAAACTTCGCGAATCTTGGAATTATAGCGTGTCAACTTTTTAATAATAAGTGATTAATGCCGAGTGATGGATTTTATTATCTTTCTCTCGCGGTTTTCTTTTCGTATAGCGTGATCTATCTCGAGAAGCCCTCGACGAGGGAAGATACGAATACGAGGTACGATTCCTTCGTGTATCGATGGCGTATTTCTTGTCGAAACGAGGACGAAGCGTTCATTATGCTCCGACGATCTCGTGTATTCGTCGTGAAGACAAAGGGCCTCGCGCAACTTTTCGTTCCGCTTTTCAGCCATGCAACTTTCTTAACTGATTTTATGGCCCGTCGGTTTCAGGAAGCAGGAATTTCGCATCGGATCGACATCAGTGTCGACGTGGCTGTCGAGGAAAAATAACGGTCTTCGAGTTTCACTTAAAGTTGTCATCTCGCTTAAACTCAGATATACTCATGGTTGCTAGGACGCAGGCCCTTGGTCATCGTTGGAAAATATATCGGCGCTTGATATCTTACGATAAGATAGTTGATTGAAAAAGTTTCTTAAACAACAAGAAAAGGGGCATGTAAGAGTATTCTAGATCAGACAAATATCTCTTGTTAGCTACGTTTTGTACAATATAAATTTCAAGTTGATTCTTCTTTAAAGAAAAACTTGGAAAGATATCGTTACGTTAAAAGTTTCTTATTTTCAATAATAGCCTGTTTAAAATAATGTTTCTGATATGAAATTAAAACTTTTTACTTACACATTAACGTTTACGTTTTATTGATTAAAGTCGTTATTTTATTCGTAAAATAAATTAAAGTCCGAATATTGGATTTCTTTTTGAAACATTTCGGATTTAATTTGATTTCGAGGAATATTATACGTTTCCTAAAATAAAGTAAATATATATCACTGTCTTGCTATCGTATATAATAATTAATTTTGAAAATATTACGATAATATTAAGTGATTAAATATTTCAACAATATTAACGCCTCACGTACATAATTCTAAAATAAAGTAAATTCAAATTATGCGCCGCAATTTTGTTAATCATTTAGCGTGTAATTCCCGACCGCAGGGGTCATGTGCCATTTTGTTTAAATATGTAGTCTGCTTGAGAGACACATGCGGAGCACAGAACGTAAATAACGAGAACGTTATTTTTAAGTATAAAATACTGTCGAGAGCCGCGTTTTTATTGCACACCTGGTGTTTTTAAGATAAAGAATTTTATTATTTATTCAGTTATTCTCTTTCAGCTGAAAATTAATCAAATGTCTTCAGCTTTTAATATTAAATTAGTACGTAATTATACTTGTAACAAGTTGCCATTTCTTTCGAAGCTGTATGACGGTAATTAATTTAATATTAAATTCCGAAAACGCGCGTTTTTTTATTTTTTTCAAAGATTCAAGGACCATGCGACTATTCTTTAATTCGCCGCTATACGTAATTGTTGGTACAGTTGCATCAAATACAATTCCACAAAATCTGTCAATTTAACTGTCGCCCGCCTGTCGAATGCACCGCATCACGTACTACAAACATTGTTATGTACAAACACACGTGATTGGATTAATTATTTTTATCAAGACCTAATTGGCCATGTTTGTTAATCGCACTTTTCCATTTTCCGTTATTCACCTCACGCGATTGTATTGATTTTCAGCAAGGTTTACTGTGAAGGACCGCTGCTGAAAACGGTGCAGCTCTCCGGGATTTTTAATGACAGCAAAACCTTCGTAGATCTCTATCAACTTCACGATCCGAACGTAACTCTGAACAAGTAAGTTGATACCCATTACAAAAGCGAATCCAACAATATAACAAGTTTAATATCTCTCTTTTCCTCTTTTCCTCTTTTAAAGAATTATATAAAAGATAGAAATATTTCTACCTTTTTGTGAGCAACCATTTTTCTTAATATTGTTAATCTTCTCGCTGAATTTTGTATGGTTGTTGCAAAGTAAATTTTCATTGTATGCTTTTAAAACATCTTGCGTCAATTTAAGTGATTTATGTATATATATATGTATATATATAAATAAATATATATATATATATAATTTATATATTACTTTTTTTTACTCTGTGAAGTCA